AGTAGTTTCTTAAATATGTGGAATTGTTTGCAAGGTCCCACAGGGAATGTGTCTAGTCTCACAGTCTTGGGAAGCCACATAGCATTCCCAACTCCCTGTCATGGTGTCCTCTTTGCCCACAAGTTGCAGCTTTGCCATAAAGTGAGGCAGAGACGCCATCCCAATGTTAATAAACTGAGAAGCAAGGACACAGAAAACTTGTTCTTTTCTCTGTGTAACAACATTTTCATTGTTAAAAGCTTGGATTTTATAATTCATCTTGCAAATTGGCAGGCCAAGTTTGCACCCTGGTCTTGCTATCACACTGAGTCATCTGTGACTCAGTGACTGAGAAATACTGCCACAGGCTCCGAAAATGCTGCCTCCACCACCAGCACCTTACACAAGCTCCTTGCAGAAATGATCATGAAACTTCTGTTAAAAATCCATTTAATTTTTATATTACGAATGTCTAACATGCATATCATGAAAAATCTAAAGAGCACCTTGGTCTCCACCACTCAGAACAAAGGAATATACTGTTGCCCATTCTTTCCCTTTTTTATACATAGTATGCAAGCATACATGTGTGTATGTATATATGTATGTATGTGTGTGTATATATATGGGTGGGTGTGTATGTATATATGTGTGTATGTGTGTATATATGTGTAAAAGTTTTTTATTTCCTTAAAGATGTTCATAGAACATCTTTAAGGAAATAAAAATTATACAATAAACTCTACTTGATATACTAGGATTCTAAACTTTCTGAAAAATGGAAATTTCCCCTAAAGGTGGAGCAACAGCCTTCATCACTATGGCCACAATATTCTATCATAGGCATAATGCTACCATGAGGATTTAAGTCCCAGTTATTCATTCTTCGATCCTTTCTTAGACAATACAAGATTATAAACATGCTTGAAAGTCCAGTGAATTCATTGGTTAGGACAGAATTACAAAACTTGCCACAAACTTTGCCATTAAGATTAAATAAGAACTAGGGTTGTGGCTTGGTGGTAGAGTGCTTTCCTAGCACATATAAGGCACTAGGTTCGACTCCCAGCACCACATAAAAATAAACAAAATAAAGGCATTGGGTCCATCTACAACTTAAAAAAAAAAGAAAGATTAAATGAAGCCAGGCACATTAGCGTGCACCTGTAATCCTAGCAGCTCAGGAGGCTGAGGTAGAAGAATTGTGAGTTCAAAGCCAGCCTCCTCAAAGGCAAGGTGCTAGCAACTCAGGGAGACCCAGGCTCTAAATAAAACACAAACAAAGCCTGTGGATGTGGCTCAGTGGTTGAGTGACCCTGAGTTCAATTCCCAGTACTCACCCTCAAAAAAAAAAAAAAAAAAGATTCAATGAAATAATGCATATCAGTTTCCTAACACAAAGGAAGCCCTCAATCCAATGGAACTCTTTTTTAAGCAATAAAAGGAAGATGAAGTCCAATTAAGACTCTGGAATTAGTAGTAGCCAATGATAATGAAAGCACTGAGAGTTTATGGTATTATAAATCAATTCTGTATCATATATCCATATGCCCAAGACAGTGTCTACTTGATGAGGGCAGGAACTATATCTGTCATTTAAAAGGCATTCAAAGAGTATGTATTAAGTGAAGAAAATGCACAAAATCCATAGGACAAAGATCATTAAGGTGAAAGTCTAAGATCATTACTGTGAAGGTCTTGGAACTGCTTTAGAGCATATGTAAACCCCCTGAAATTATATACATTATTACATGTGATTTTGAGTGTGTATCTGTCAAGGTGAATTTTCTGGAGAAATGAACTATAGATAGTAAAACATTCTCATATACACTGATTTTTTTTTTAAATTAGGGATCCTTGCTTCAGAGCTGCACTACCTTCCTCTGAATATTTTGCTCCTTGCCTGCATAAACATGAAATCTCTATATATTTTCATTGATTAACAAGTTCTCAGATATTTACTCTTAGAAGAGTAGTGACCTATCTTGAACAAAAATTAGTACAAACTTGCATTATGATGTGTTATATTGTCACATAACACATCTTCCAAAAGGTACACGTAGAAGTCATGAAACCTGATGGTCTAGAAATCATGCTGGGTTGGGGAAAAGTGTACTTGCCAGAAAACAAATTTCTTAATCAGGGGACAGAACTAAGTATATAGTCACATTCATACTACCTTTATTTATCTTCAATGCTCTAAGATATTAAGAAAAGTGACTCAATTGAAATATGAATATATGGAGTTAATAAATACACTTGTCAAAAATTCAAAGGAGAGTCACAAAGGTAAACAAAATGGATAAGATGAGAAGTGACTATTTAGAATTGACTTGCCAAAACGTCCCCTATCAACAGTGGTACTGCTAATAATAACAGCAGTGACGGAAGCACTATTTGTAGCTATAGCCCTTTACTATAAGCAAAGCACTTTTCACACAGATGTATCATGCTGGCAAAATGACTGCCATTTTATAGACTGACATATAAAGGCTCATAGAAGCTCAAGTCTGACCCACATCATACCATTTCTGAATATGGAGGCTGGGGAATGTCCATACATCTTCCACTTCTAAATGCTATCTTTTTAATCTAACATTTTGCTTCACATGGCAGAATCATTGTTAGGCCTTCCGAATTTCTGGATATGTTGCCAATTATTCATTAAGGTTCAGAAAAAGCAAGGCACTTAAGAAAGCCAGTTCATTATTATCCATATTGCTGTGGAATTTGTGTTAGTGAATGAGGAAGTTAGTACATAGAAAACATCAAGGGAAATAGCAAAATAAGAAACTTGGCTTTGGGGCCCTTTGAAGCTATTTTAAAAAATAAAATGTTATGTTAAGAGCAATGTGGTATATCTGTGTGTGTGTGTGTGTAATTATTATTCCATTGATTTATTGCACACATGTCAAAGAGTGTCTGGGCATTTGTACAAGTTAAAACAAACCAACCAAGGAGCCAAGCCACACAGCCACAAACCCAGACAACTTGCCTCCCACCCCTCACTCCACCCTTCATCCTACCACCTCCCAAACACAAATTCCCTACTAGCAAAACCCTTCTGTACAAAAATGAACTACTAAGCCAGAGACATCTATCATTTAGGAATGAGTTAGGAACCAAACTGCAAAGAGTTATCATATGTAACCTCTTCTGAGTATGAGCACCATATTCTTCTAATGAATGTTTTTTCACAGAACTGGCGATTGACCCTAAGAGTACTCTACCACTGAATTACATTGCCAGCCCTTTTTATTTTTTACTTGAGACAGGTTCTCACTAAGTTGCCCAGGCTGGCATAGAACTTATGATCCTCCTGCCTCAGCCTCATGAATAGCTGGCATCAGAGGCATGATCCACCATGCCTGGCTTTGCATGTTCATTTAAATCCAGACTTTTTGTTGCAGGACAAAAGGAAACAATCTCTCCTCTACTCACCCACTAAACCACCACATGTTAAATAGGAAGACTCTTTTCCCTTTGCTATTCTAAGGAGTAGAGAAACCAATTTAAAGTATTTTATTCCACCGCCAAAAATCCTCTGCTTATGATCCAACAATTAGAGCTAATTTCAACCTAAATTGCTTTCTTTAAGAGATGGATAGCATTAGGTAACTTTCTCCTCTGCATCTATATACAAAGATATCTTAATAGGAGAAAAAAAGGCTAAACAAATTCCTTGGATGTTTCCTGCTAATAAAATCATCAATTTCACACTCAACTTCAAAGCAGTGAACTTAGAAAATCATCTCACTATCTCTGCCTCATATGGAGAACAATTTTTTTTCTACTTCAAAGCACCATCTCCTCATTGGGTCATTTTAGTTATTGAATGTGGTGCAGAAGCTAGCCACATCGCCACTTTTTAAATGATATGTGTAGGTCTAATTTGGACTACATTAATTTGAAAGAGATAAAATACAAGTAAAAGAATAAGAACAGGGTGAGAAGCCAGGGACTACAGCATACATACATCAGTGTAAGGTAGTGGGAGGAAAAGCCTTTATGAGCTGACTTTTCTCATTTTTGCCTTCTGGAAAGGAATTATCAAGAAACCTGACTGCCTGTTTGGGCAAGCAGACTGCCTTGCTCATCAAATGTCTTCCTACCCAACACATAGCAACACAATCACATTAACTTTATCAGAAATCCTAGTATAATTGATAACTTAAGACAAAATATGGATCTAATCAGTTGTTTCATGAAGAAAAATTCAAACAGGGGTCAGCAGACTATCTCATCCAATTTAGGGTAACAGACTAGCTGGGTATCCCAATGCCCACTCAACCCTCTTCTGACAAAAACACATTCTTTGCTAAATTGCTCACTCTTGACAATTGTTTGATTTAATTAATTTGTACTTTTGTATTTCTTAACAGATCCAAAGATGTAATACAATTAGGGGAAACAGGGTGATAGGCTAGTAAGATATATTTTTTGTTCATTCTTCTAAGTATGAATAAGAAATAACCAACACCACCTTTAAGAAACTTAAATGATACTTTCTTCAATGAGTAAAAGAATTTTGGAAATTGAGGATACTCCTTATTAAGAAACCCCTGGAACTACAGGTGCAAAGAGGCAGACCTATACAAATGATCTACAGCAAAGTAAGGAATTTTATGATTTTTGATAAAATGAAAGACCTCCAGATCGATCTCTTATCTATCATTTCCAAATCCAAAAAAAGCCCTGACAAATGAAAAAAAAAATCCAAGTGTGAATCAAACTCCTTTGGTGGCACCACACAATGAAACCTGACAGGAGAAAATTTATATAGTCATCATCCTTCTTCAGAGTAAGAAAATTTTTCTGCAGAAATATTCATGGTTTTGCTTATAAGGTATTGATGCAACCTCACTGGGAATGTTATACAAACTATGATACATGCAATAGATCTCACCTTTCCAAAATTCCAAAAACCTGAATTCCAAACACAACTGGTCCCAAGGGTTCTTCCAAAGAAAGCTGCTCAGATATGACATCTTGACATCCAGAATTCCGAGACCGTAACTTACCTCAGTCTGAAGAATGGCAGCCCTTTGTTCTTTGGCAGTAAGCGACTCTTTAAGCACTTCAATGTGTTGCTTGCAATCTGAATTTTGATTGCTAAGGGTTTCAAGCTTTGTTTGTAAGGCAAGAAGTTCTGACTCCTTCTTTGAAAGTTCCTGCTTCAGTTGATCAATCTGTGAAATAACAAAATTGCAAGAAATTAGAAATTATACTTTACATTTGACAGCTATGGATTTCTCTCAATTTTCAATAACCAATCCAATAGGACAGGCCATGAATTTGCTTAAAGAAATGGTCTTGATTGCAGGGGGCTCTGGTCATTGGATTAGTTGGTTTGACAAGGTAGAGAATACAGTAGGAACAGCAAGGTTGGGATCAATTAAATTTTGGACATGTTTGATGAAAGTGAGAGTTTAGGCATAATATTGTATATATGAAGGTCAGGTGCTCATGGAAAGATCTGAGTTCTGTATAGTTGATTTAGCAAATATTAGTTTATATGTGAAGATTTAAATCACAAGAGAAGGAAAGATAATCTGAGAAGAGTATGAAAGACAAGAAGTCCAAGAACAGCTATGTTTAAAGGGAATACAGAAGATCAAATCTTTCCTGGGAAGAAATAATTAAAAAAAAAAAAAAAACTAAAGGAGGTAGTGTCCTAAAAACCAAGGAAGTATTGCCAAGATGAGCAGGAATTCCTGACTTATGAAATGTGATAAATGGCCTGCTTTATACATTGTTCTAATGATAAAATGAAATCACATCTGCAAAAATCCTATGTATATTGTAAATGTTATATAAATGAGATATATCCATAGCTCCAAGGGGAGGGTGGGAGAAGGAGGAAGAGAGACATATGGCTTGAGAAGCAGTCTTAGGGGCCTAGAATACATACTATAGAAACAATATCAGTAGCCTACCTTCTATCCCACTGTGGCCCTAGGTTTACAATGAAATGAAGGCTTCTTGAACAACTCTACTCATCCATGAAATCCCCAAGCCTATTGCCATTGTCTTCAGGAGGGTCAACAGGGAACTAACAAATACAATTAACCCAAGATAAAACTCCACTGTGGAGAACTGGGGTTGTAGCTCAGTGGCAGAGCACTTGCCTAGCACATGTGAGGCACTGGGTTCAATTCTTAGCACCACATAAAAATAAATAGAAAAATAAAGACATTGTGTCCATCTATAACTAAAAATTATTTTTTTAAAATTCATCATGGAGATGATCATTCAACAGAGTCATTTAACCAAAGATAATATAACACAATAACAATGTGTGTGTGTGTGTGTGTGTAAGTAACAGAACACACACATACACATATATATGGGTTTTGTTTTTATGTATATTAAATGTTGAGTAGACATAGAACATAAAATGTACAAGGAAAAGCATGTACATGAGATACAAGTAAAAGCAGTATCCATCATTCAATTCACCAAAGCAGAAAAAAAAAAAAACATTAGAATTACCCATGCCCCATCCTATATCCATCCTGAATTTGGAGTTTGTCATTTCCTCTCTTATCTTTTAGGCTTACCATATATTTCTGCATCCATAAGTAACATGCTATTTGGTTCTGCATATTTTTCAATGTTGTGTCATGTATACTTTTTAAAGCACTTCTGTCCTGAAAGTTAAATCATGTCCATGTAAACCTATGTACATAGAATTAATTCATTTTCAACAAAGTAGAGTATTCCATTGTAAGACTTTGCCACAATTTTTTGTTCATTCTGCTGATAGGTATCTGGGTTTATTCCTAGGTGTTTCACTATTACAAATAGTGCCATTCAAAATATTCATTTACATATATACATATGAATGAAGTCATATATATATATATATGTATATATATATATATATATATATGAGAGAGAGAGAGAGAGAGAGA